GTCTCAAAAAATCCATCACAAAAAAAGGGCTAGTGGAGTGGCTCAAGATGTAGTCCCTGAGTTCAAACCCCAGTATGCAAAAAAAAAAACCAAAAAACTGTTTCTTGTACTTTTAACACAGGTTCAGCCTCTCTAATCTGAAATCCAAAATATTACAAAATCTGAAAGTTTTGAAGGCCAGCATGATGCTATCAGTGGAAAATTCACACTGCTTTGGTCCCCAAAAGGCCTATATGTTTGGTTGCCCGCCTGTGACAATTTGGGAGGCAGTAGAAACTTAAAGAGGTAGAACTTTTAATGGAAGAAAGTTAGGTCACTGGCAAGTATGCTGCCACAGGGGATATTAGGATGCCAGCCCCATTCTCTTTCTGCTTTGCTGCCTCTGTGAAGGAACAGATCTCTTCCTTCACGTACTCCCGCCACGATGTGCTTTGCTGCCACAGGCCCAAAGCAACTGAGTTTTGAGACAAGGTCTCACTAATTAGTCTAGGCTAGCCTTGAACTTGTGATCCTCCAGCCTCAGCCACCCAAGTGCTGGGATTATAGATGTGAACCACCAGGCCCAAATTTAATCTGGGTATTTTTGTCACAGCAGTAAAAAGCTGACTAACACACACATCCCTTGAAAATTGTTTCATGAACAAAGTAACTTAAAATATTGTATAAAATTACCTTCAGCCAATAAGCATAAGGTGTATATGAAATATAAATGAATCTGGTGTTTAGACTTGGGTCTCCTCACTAAGATAGCTCGTTGTGTATATGCATATAATCCAAAATTTTAAAAAACCCCAAAGATCTGAACCACTTCTGGTTCCAAATATCTCACATAAGGGCTCACGACCTGAATTCCATTCATCTCTGGCTGTTTTTACTGAACCTTGTCACAGTCCTAGGCCACTGGCACCTGTACTGGTGGGAGGTTGAGGTGCAGAGGGCGGCGGCCCTGACCTCATCACTACTAATTGTTGAGCTGCTTCCAACTCTGGAATCTGCTTCCAAAGGCTGTGAATTTAGTCTTTAGAGGAGAGCTCCCCATGAGTCATGCACACTGCTCTGGGCCTTACCCAATGTCCCCTACTGCTGCTGTCCTTGTGCAGCAAGGGCACAAGTGGCTGGGACTCTCTTCTCTCCACATTCACAAGTGCACAAGAAGTGTGGTGTGGGTATGTGTTTGCTTCAGTGCTAGGGACAGAACCCAGGACCTTGTGTAAGTCAGGCAAGCATTCCCCCACTGAGCCACAGCTCCTCTTTGTTGCCTTCTGAATTATAAGTATCGGATTCTAGATTCCTATCCCACTGATCTAGGGCTACATCCAGAACTAGCTGTCGTAGTTTGAGTTCCTAAAAAACAAAGTTTGACCCTAGAACTTGGGTGTAATTTATTGGTAGATCCCAGGAACCAGGTGAGAGGGGAAGAGTGACACAAGGTAGGACAATTCAATGGAGTGTCTTTTGGCATCTGTCCCCTACTAGCAGGAGGTTGCCCCCTATGGCCTTAACTCTTAGTACCAGGCTGTGCCCATGAGTTGAGCATGCCCTGGGAACTGAGGAGTAGGCTCTGATGCCGAAAGAGGAACCCACAGAAGACACTTGACAAAGGCACTGACCATACATAGACCATCCACAGTAGTTGCTGCCGGCTGATCAGATGTAACCAGCTCCCAGAGCACCTGCCACCTTTTCTGCCTCTGAGGGGGCCAGAACAATGACAATGGCAAAGGCTGAGTACTGTCTGCTCCCCTAGGATTCAGGTGCCTCTCTCTTGTGGTCCTTTCATTCTAAAGATATTTGGAGCTGGCCTAATAAGAATAAGAACTTTTTTACATGATGACAGAGGGAAACAAAAAAAGCCCTGTGGAGTTGACATTTTAGATGGGGAGACTGACAATACATGAACTATGGAACATGTCAAATGGTGATAGTGCCAGAAAACAAGCAGCAGGAAGAATATGTTTGGCTGGTTTGGTTGGGTGGGGCAGTTAGAGAGAAGGCATACTGCTATAAATAAGTGATTGGGGAACACCTCATTGAAGAGGTGACATTTAAGCAGATCTCTGGAAGAAGTGAGTGAAGAAGTCAGCAAGACCCTGAGAAGGCTTAAAGAAAATCAGAGGGCCAGACATGGTGGGGCATGCCTGTAATCCCAGCACTCAGGAGGCTGCAGCAGAAGAATCCAATCCTATATGTGGCCAGCATAGGGTACATAGAGACCGTGTCTCAGGAAAAAAACTAAAAAAAAAAAAAAAAGGTGGGGGATCAGAAGAGCAGCGGGGCTGGGGTGTAGCTCAGTGGTAGACTATGTGCTCAACATGTGAGAGACCCCAGGTCAATAACCAGAACCAAGGAGGAAAAAAAAAAAAGGAAAGGAAAAGAGAAAAGCATGGTGTGTTTCCAAGAGGAGGAGGTCAGCTGCATGAAATATGAAATGCTACTGCTGTGCCATGATGAGGACAGAATTGGCCAAAGGACTTAACGTAGAGGTCAACGCCATCCTTGACGAGGGCATGTTGGAATGAGTGAGAGGCGAGAAAAGCTGAAGGCTGAGAGGGCTTCAAAGCTAATATAGCCAGACAGGCTCACACCTGTAATCCCAGCTACTCAGGAGGCAGAGATTAGGAGGATCTTGGTTTGGAGCCAACCCAGGCAAATGGTTTAGAAGACCCTATCTTGCAAATAAACCCATCACAAAAAAGGGCCTGGAGGAGTGGCTCAAGGTGTAGACCCTGAGTCCAAACTCCACTACTGCAAAAAAAAAAAAAAAAGAAGAAAGAAAACAGTAAGGGGAGGCATCGGAGATGGTGACTCCAAGCAACTTCCAACTTCAGGGACTGCAATTACAAACAGGAGCCAAGGAGTGAGCCACTGGAAGGCAGATGGATCAGGAGAGGACTTTTCCCCACTGGGATCCCCACACTTGTTTCATCTTTCCTCTTCTGTAGACAAATGTGCAGACTTTTAATCACGCTCCTCCAAGCCCAAAAATATTTTTACCAAGCTCCATGCCCCAGCAGAGGAGAGGGATGGAGACAAGAAAGGGCAACTGGGGGGAGGGGGGAATGAACGTGATCAAAGTAATTAAATACATGAATGAAAGTGTCATAACGAAACCCATTATTTTTAATATAATATATTAATAAAAACAGAGAAAGGAAAAAATATTAAAAAGCTCTATTCCCAGAGTCTGGGGCTGCAGGAGGTGCCAGGCACAGTACTTTGTTCTTCTCTTTGCTCTCATGCTTTCCTGTCTGGGCAGGGGGTAGAGGAAGGGGAGTGAAATTCCAGAGCAGAAAGAACAAAGATATCTCAAAATATCGAGCCCCATTTAATTCGGGCCTTGCATCACTTGAAAGACCAATCAAACAGGACCCTGCTGGGCTGCTGCAGGCTGTGAGGCTCTACCTGTCTGGGCAGGGACTTTTCTCTTCCATAGTGCTTGTTTTCATGTAGTCTACTCAAAGCAACATTCTCCAAACTTTAAGCATTCTTGGATCACCTTTATTTATTTTGTGGTACTGGGGTTTGAACTCAGGGCCTGTACTTTGAGCCACCTCACCAGCCCTTTTTTTTTTTTAAATAGTGCTTCACAAACTATTTGCCTGGGGCTAGCATCGAACCTGCATCTTTCTGAACTCTGTCTCTTGAGTAGCTAGGATTACAAGCGTGTATAGGCTTCCGGCTACCTTTATGATTTTTGCTATTTAGCCATACCACATTTAACGTCTTCACACAGGCGCTCTCCTGCTTGAGCTATGGGTATGTGAAATACCATCCTTTCTTTTTATATGGTAAAATTCACCATTTTAAAGTGTACGATTCGGTGGTTTTTAGAGCATTCAGTGTTGTCATTCCAAAACATTTTTCATCACCCCAAAAGAAAGCCCTATTAGTAAATCCCTCCCAATCCCTGGTAACCATTAATTAGATGTCTTTACGGATTTACCTCTTCTGGATATTTTATAAAAATTGAATAAATACGTACCCTTTGGATCTAACTTTCCTTCACTTAGTATTTTTCCCCATTTCTGCTACTTTTGTGCTTTTTCTAGTGTTTTGTTCAGAATATTTAAAAAATTAGTTTGGCGGTACTGGGATTTGAACTCAGTGCCTCACGCAAGTGCTCTACCAATTGAACCATGCCTCCCGCCCTTTTGCTTTAGTCATTTTTCTGATAGGGTCTCCTTCCCTTGCATACACCCCAGGACCTCCTACCTATGCTTTCCCCATGGCTGGGATCACAGTGACACCACCATGTCCCGTCTGGTTGACTTTTTTTTTTCCCCAGCTGGCTTCAAACCACTATCCTCCCAATCGCCCACTCCCGGGCAGCTGGGATTACAGCCACCGCGCCCGGCCAAATCTGCTATTTTAGGGGAGTATCTCCAAATTTGAATTTTTAATGTGGTATCTTAAATGTTGGCAACTAATTAAAAAAAAAAGCGTAGGTCAGACACATTTTCTACAGATAAAAGGAGGACAGTACAGAGACGATTCTCCAAAAAGCCACACAGGCAGGTGGGGGATGGCATCTTAGAGAAGTTTCGAGAAAACTTCGCTAAGGGACAGAAAACACAATTTCTAAGGGATGCCTAGGCCCTACCCCTCCTGCGCCCCGAGGCCCAGAGGACCAAGTGGAAAGTACAGCCTGGGGCTCTGCCCACCTCGCTCCCCATTCCCTAAGAGCCTCGAGGACTTAAGTGCCTCGGGGACTTCGTCCTCCTTTTCTTGGATGACCTGCAATCCGCCCCAACCCCGCCAGGAGACTGTCAGCTGCAGGCCAGGTTTCCCGGAGTGTCACACGCAGACCCTCCCGGGACCTCTGGGCCGGGTCAGGGTCATCAGCCACCCCCACACAGTGTCAGCCCCTAACGGCGCGCCGCCACCCGCACGCACGGCGCAGCCTAGACGCCCCAGCGATCGCGCCCCAGCTGGCGAAGGGCGGAAGTGCGCGTGCGCGGGACGAGCGAAGCGCGCGTGCGCGGCATGGGTTTTTATTTGCGTCACCGCGACTCCAGAGCGCGAGGCTGGATCATGAGCACGCCGCCGGCGCCTTCGCGCTTGCGCATCTTCCTCTGCCAGGCGCGCGCCGCGGCCGTCGGGCTGACCTCGGGGTCGAGCTTCTTCTCCAGCAGGCGCATGCGCGCCGTGGTCTCAGTGAGCATATCCATGAGCAGCTCTTGCTGCAGCTTCAGGTAGTTGTTCTCCTCCAACAGCACCTGACTCTTGGCTCGGTGCACCTGCGGCGGCTTCCAGCTCGCGATGGCCGGCGAGGGCAGCGGTGGCCGCGGCCGCGTCAGCTGGCACTCCGAGGCCCACCGGCCTCCGCGGAACACGAAGGCCTCGTCGCTGAGGCGCGTGCGCGGCGCGCCGTAGCTGAGGCCCAGCTCCGCCTGGCGCGTGCGGTGGTCCAGCAGGTAGAAGGTGGACATGGAGGAGATGCGGCGCAGTGGCGGCCGCCGTGGCGAGAATCGCCGCGAAAAGTGGTCAGCCCAGAATTGCCGCAGCTGCTCCCCCAGGCGGCTTGCGTGACTCGAAGCCAGACACTCGAAGGCCTCCAGGGCCAGCGATGGGTGGGCCTCGGAAGGCGCGCAGGTGGCAGGAGGGGCGCCGCAGGGTCGCAGGCCTTGCCTCCGGAGCCCTGGTGTCCTGAATGACGAAGGCGAGCCAGTGGCACTGCTGAGGAGCAAATGTTCGGGTGAGCAGCCTGCTCGCTGGAGGTTGAGCCTTGCAAACCGCGAGGCCGGTGGGCAATGGCTTTGACCTTGGACTGGCCCACCCCTGCACTATTGCTCTCTATCTCACGTACACCATCCTCCCCAAAGACTATTGTTTGGGTGTCAGCTCCTGGGTATAGAAATGCAGATGTAGGACTAGGACCCTGTTCTCAGGGCTGTAGCTGGACGGGGTCCTACGAAATAGCAGAAGAGGAGGCTGGAAGGGTGGACCTGGGCACGTTGAGGTGCTATGCAGGCAAGCTCAGCAGGTTACATAGAATTCATTCTGTGGGTAAGGGAACTGCTGAAGGATTCCCAACCCAGGGTTAGGTATGGACTCTGCAGAGGATCTAAGCCTACAACTTTTCTTGCTCTCATTCACTGGCACCTGCTCCCTGCCAAGCCTTGGTCTGAAGACTGAAGGGGGTGTGGGGGAAGCGGGTACCAGCACACAGCTTTTCACTGCCCCAAGTGTTCCTGGTCCAGCTGGGAAGACAGATGTGTACATAGATCACAGTCCAGTGGGGTTCATGACATTCTGGCCTATCCCTTGGCCTAGACCTATGCTTAGAGTTCAAGGAACAAGGATGTACACTCTAGACTTTTGTGTCAAGCTGGCCACACCCTCAAGGAATCTCAAGTCCAGATGATAGACAAGTCCATTCTACCTGCTTCTCTTCTACCCCTGGTAAATGCTAATTCTACTATATGAGAAAATTGTTGTCTTTAATTCCTCTTCTGCCCATGGAGGGTGAAGAGAGAAATAACAGGGCAGGGTTCTCTCCACTGTGCCTTTGTTAATTCCACAGTAATTCCTCCCATACAACTGGGCAGAGACTAGATGGTACCCGCCTTCTCCCACTCCACCTAGTTCAGGGAGGCCGTCTCTGGAAGCCAGCATCCAGGCCCACACTCAAGAGTTGCAACTCCCCAGAGAACTCATCCCCAACAATCCGCTACTTGTGTGCCTACCTGGAAGATGTGGTGGAGGTGCCAAGCTGCTGTCCCAAGCCTGGCCCCATCTCTGAACCACTAAGCTCCTGTGTACTGGCTATGACTCACGATGACAACCTCCTGTGTACTAGCTGTGACTCACAATGCCTCCAGGCCAGACCATCCCAGGATACAAGAAGTGCTGACTGCTGAACTATAATACATACCCCAGGCTCTCCTCTGCATTTATGTAGTGAATTTATCGAGCACTTACTGTGTTCTAGGAAAATGAAAATGTTCCTTCAATAAACTTTTTTTGTTGTTGTTGAGATAGGATCACATTATGTAGCCCAGGCTGGTCTCCAATTCCTGGGCTAATGCCTCAATCTCCTGAGTAGGTTGTGCCCAGCTTAAACTGTCATTCTTGTCAGGGGAATGGGGTGCGAAGTAGTCATAAGCAGAGTCACACCTCCATCCCCAAGACTAAGTTATTATGATGACTGCGGCTGGAGGTATGGCTCAAGTGGCAGAACACTTGGCTACCATGTGTGAGGCTCTGAGTTCAATCCCGTGTACCACAAAAAAATTAAAATGAGTAAGACTGGCCGCTCCCTGTGCTCCCACCATTATACTTTATTTACTATGATATGATGCAGCCTGAAAGACCTCATTAGAGCCAGCAGATATCAAAACAATGTTCTTGGACCTCCAAAACTGTAAGCTCAGTAAACCTCTTTTAAAATATGAAGTACAAAGCCTCAAGCATTTTTTTCCTACAGCCTCAAGCATTTTGTTGGTGCAACCAAAAACAAACTTAATATGGGGAGTTAACAGGGCAGTTCCTCAGGAAGCTGACATGAGGTGTCTTGGGTAGACTCCCTTCAGCTTAAGATGAAAATTCTTGTTCAGGTTATGTAAGTGCTCTCAGGAGAAGGGAGTGAGGGAAGCAGGGCAGAGGAAAAACCAAGCTAAGCAAGAGTGTGGTTTTAGTGGAAATTAACTCCAATCTGATCCCACGGGGAACTCTAGAGTACATATTGCACCCTCCCCCTTCCCTCTCCACATTTTAGTTATCACCTGACAAAGCTCTTATGGGATGCATGTGCCACCAGTAATAAAGATCTGAGTGGGGTACTGACAGCATAGAGGAGGGAGGGAGAGAAAAGATAATTAAAATACAAATTACTAAATGGATAAGAATCTGATGGTGATATCTGAAGTGAAGAAAATAGGAAAATACAGAAAGTGACTCTGGGACAGAGTGAGGGGTAGGAACTAACTTAGGGTGCTTGGAAAAGGCACTTAACCACTCATGCTTGGACCTGAATGATGAAACCCCAGCCTGTTGAAGATCTTGGGGCTAGAGGCAGGAAGGAGGCAGACATGTTGCAAGGACAAGTGCCATATTTGGGACCGTGGGAGGAAGTGAAGCCAGCCCTATTTGCCAAACCCACCCAGTTGACTGCCATCCTCTCTACTTGGCATTTTGGATCTCAAGGGCCCCTTCCCAGGGCGTCCTAGTTAACCCGTCTGCGTGGCTGTCAGAGGGGTCAGACCCAACTCCAGGAGAGACAAGGAATGACAGCAGGTGGCAGTGCCACCTGGCAATTTTTTCTGTAACTAGTTATTTTTCTTTTTCCTTTTTTTTTCAAGATGGGGTCTCCCTATGTTGTCTAGACTGGCCTTGAACTCCTGGACTCAAGTGATCTTCCTGCCTCAGCCTCTTGAATAGCTTGGAGCTATAAGCACACACTGTACCTGACTCTTTAACAGTTTTACTGAGATATAATTGCAAAGTAAACTACATATATTTATAATATACAATCTGATATGTTTTGATTATGTTATGTTACATCTGCAAAATCACGACGAAGATCTCCTTTATGTCCATATGTTTTTCTCTGCTGTCATCACTATAGCGTACATTTTTGAGAATTTTATATAAATGGAATTATTCAGTATGTACTTTTTTTGGGGTCCCCATTGGCTTCTTTAAGCATAATTTAAGACTTCACACTTGCAAAGCAGACACACTAATGCTTGAGCCATACCTCTTCTTGAAGCATAATTATTTTAAGATTTATCCTTGTCACATTTGGTAACAATTCTTTCCATTTTATGTGTATATAGTGTTCCACACAATTTGTTTTTCTATTTACCTGTTGATGAAAATCTGGGTTCTTCCAGTTTGGGAGCAATTACAAGTAAAGCAGCTATTACATGTCTCTAACCAGTCTTTTGTGGACATATGAGTGCTTGCTTTTTTCCTCATTTTTCTTTTCTTCTACATAGGGATCTCCCTGTGTAGCCCAGATATGCCTTGAGCTTGAGATCCTCCTGCTTCAGCATCCCAAGTGCTGGGATTGCAGGCATGCGCCCCGATGCCTGGCTTGGATGTATGTTTTCATTTCTCTTGAATTAATACCTAGGCATGGAATAGCTGAGTCATAAGGCAGCTTGGGTTTGAACTCAGGGCCTACATCTTGAGCCAGCCATTTTTTTGAGATAGGGTTGCTTGAACTGTTTGCCTCAGACTGGCTTATGAACCTCAATCCTCCTGATCTCTGCCTCCTGAGTAACTAGAATTACAGGCGTGAGCCACTGGCACCTGACAACATCTGACTTTTTTATTCTTGCACTAGTGCCATAATTTTTTTTCAATTATTGTAGCTGATAATAAAAGCCTTATTATAAGACTCTTATAAGAGTCTTACAAGAGCTTATAAGAGTCTCTCAAACTATTTACTTGGGTTGGCTTCAAATGTGATCCTCCTAATCTCTGCCTGCTGAGTAGCTGGGATTACAGGTGTGAGCCAGTGGCACCCAGCTCCAACAATATTCCTTAAGATTGCTTATTGCTTTTCCTTCCTTCCTTCCTCCCTTCCTCCCTCCCTCCCTCCCTCCCTCCCCTCCCTTCCTTCTTCCTTCCTTCCTTCCTTCCCAGGGTCTTCCACATGCTAGGCAAGTTCTCTACCACTGAGCCACATCCCCAGCCTGCTTTGATTTCTAGGTCCATCCTATTTCCATATGAATTTTAGAATTAGAATGTCAGTTTCCACAAATAACCTCTCAGTCTTGCTGTTCAGAGCCCTTACCCTTGGGATGCTTGCATCCCTCAAAGGTTGTCTGAAAGACATAGAATTAGAGTCCAGGAATTGTAACCAAACCAGTGAGAGATGCATTCTCTTCCTGTTTGTCCAAATTGTCTGTATTTTTAAGGTAAATTTTCATTAACAGCCATATTTCAGGCAAATCATGGGTGACTACCAGGAATGGTATACAACTTTCTATTTCCCTTATTTGCAAAGATTACCAAAAAAAAGGGAAAAGCTACAAAACCCAAGCAAATCTCCTCCTTGCCCCTACTTTGGCAATGCTGAGGATGGAACCCAGGGTCTTGTACATGCTAGGTAAGCACTCTAGCACTGAGCTACATCCTCACTCCTTGGTTATTTGAGATAGGGCCTCAATATGTAGCCCAGACTGGCCTTACTCCTCAATCCTCCTGCCTCCACCAATCGAGTGCTGGGACTACAGATATGTACTACTACACCCTGCTCTAAGGAAATCTTCATCTGATGATTTGAAGAGGAAAATTTAAAGAGAGATGATAGTTAATTCCCATTTTTCAGATTAACTCTTAGACCTAGATTTTGGGGGAAATTTAAGGAAAACTGTACAATTCAGATTCAAAATAAGAGAAAACAATGTCTCTAGCAAAAACATACATGGAAAAAAGACAACCTCTTAAACAAATAGTTGCTGGGGAAACTGGTTATCTACATGCAGAAGATGGAAACTAGACCCGTCATCTCTCACCCTGTACAAAAATCAACTCCAAATGAATCAAAGCTAATCAGAGCTCTTAATGTAAGTCCTGAAACTTTGAAGCTACTACAGGAAAACACTAGAAGATACATGCAATGGCCATTATTTTCTGAATAGGACTCTAATTGCCCAGGAAATAAGAGCAAGAATAAGCAAATGGGACTACATCAAACAAAAAAGCTGCACAGCAAAGGAAACAATTACTAGAATCAAAAGACATCACACAGATTGGAAGAAAATCTTCAACAATTATTAAATAGATAATGGATTATATCCAGAATATACAAAGAACTAAAAAAAAAAAAAAA